CAACTCATGGGGCCCCCGGGCAATAGGGGATCATGGGACCCCTGTGTCCTTGCCCAAACTCAAAAAAAGCCTAAGAAAAAGGTACCAAGGGCATCTCATGGGGCCCCCTACTGACCCCGGGCCCTCGGGCAGTGCCCGAGTCTCCAAATGGTCAGTCCGCCCCTGCTTAGGAGTACTGATACGCAAAAGGTTTCTAAAATGATCCAAAGAAATCTGCAAAGACAACACTAACTGGAAAATGAACACACACACAGTAATACAAGTAAAAAAGTTAGTGGTTGTAAACCTCAGACATGAAATATGAACAAAGCAAAACCCTCTACAGTGTGTAGGAGGGGAGATTTGGGGGGGGGGGTTGTTCTGGGGCATATGGGGAGGATTTGAGCTGGGGGATGGGGGGGCAAAGATCTGTGCTGGGAGGGGGGATTTCAGGGGTTTGTGGTAGAAAAGGTAATATGGTGAGGGGGGGGGGGAATTGTGCTAGGAGGGGAGATTTGGGGGGGGTTGTTCTGGGGCATATGGGGAGGATTTTAGCTAGGGGATGGGGGGGGGGGGGGGGGGCAAAGATTTGTGCTGGGAGGGGGGATTTCAGGGGTTTGTGGTAGAAAAGGTGATATGATGAGGGGGGGGAGGGAATTGTGCTAGGAGGGGAGATTTGGGGGGGGGGGGGTTGTTCTGGGGCATATGGGGAGGATTTGAGCTGGGGGATGGGAGGGCAAAGATTTGTGCTGGGAGGGGGGATTTCAGGGGTTTGTGGTAGAAAAGGTAATATGGTGAGGGGGGGAGGGAATTGTGCTAGGAGGGGAGATTTGGGGGGGGGGGGGGGTTGTTCTGGGGCATATGGGGAGGATTTTAGCTAGGGGATGGGGGGGGCAAAGATTTGTGCTGGGAGGGGAGATTTCAGGGGTTTGTGGTAGAAAAGGTGATTATGATGAGGGGGGGGAGGGAATTGTGCTAGGAGGGGAGATTTGGGGGGGGGGGGGGGTTGTTCTGGGGCATATGGGGAGGATTTGAGCTGGGGGATGGGGGGGCAAAGATTTGTGCTGGGAGGGGGGATTTCAGGGGTTTGTGGTAGAAAAGGTAATATGGTGAGGGGGGGGGGGAATTGTGCTAGGAGGGGAGATTTGGGGGGGGGGGGGGGTTGTTCTGGGGCATATGGGGAGGATTTTAGCTAGGGGATGGGGGGGGGCAAAGATTTGTGCTGGGAGGGGGGATTTCAGGGGTTTGTGGTAGAAAAGGTGATATGATGAGGGGGGGGGGAGGGAATTGTGCTAGGAGGGGAGATTGGGGGGGGGGGGGTTGTTCTGGGGCATATGGGGAGGATTTGAGCTGGGGGATGGGAGGGCAAAGATTTGTGCTGGAAGGGGGGATTTCAGGGGTTTGTGGTAGAAAAGGTAATTTGGTGAGGGGGGGGGGGGGAAGGGAATTGTGCTAGGAGGGGAGATGTGGTGGGGGGGGGGGGGGGGGTTGTTCTGGGGCATATGGGGAGGATTTGAGCTGGGGGATGGGAGGGCAAAGATTTGTGCTGGGAGTGTGGGGGTTTCAGGGGTTTGTGGTAGAAAAGGTAATATGGTGAGGGGGGGGAGGGAATTGTGCTAGGAGGGGAGATTTTGGGGGGGGGGGGGTTGTTCTGGGGCATATGGGGAGGATTTTAGCTAGGGGATGGGGGGGGGCAAAGATTTGTGCTGGGAGGGGGAATTTCAGGGGTTTGTGGTAGAAAAGGTGATATGATGAGGGGGGGGGGGGAGGGAATTGTGCTAGGAGGGGAGATTTGGGGGGGGGGGGGGGGGTGGGAATTGTGCTAGGAGGGGAGATTTTGGGGGGTTGTTCTGGGGCATATGGGGAGGATTTGAGCTGGGGGATGGGAGGGCAAAGATTTGTGCTGGGAGGGGGGATTTCAGGGGTTTGTGGTAGAAAAGGTAATTTGGTGAGGGGGGGGGAATTGTGCTAGGAGGGGAGATTTTGGGGGGGGGGGGGGTGTTGTTCTGGGGCATATGGGGAGGATTTGAGCTGGGGGATGGGAGGGCAAAGATTTGTGCTGGAAGGGGGGATTTCAGGGGTTTGTGGTAGAAAAGGTAATTTGGTGAGGGGGGGGAAAGGGAATTGTGCTAGGAGGGGAGATGTGGTGGTGGGGGGGGTTGTTCTGGGCATATGGGGAGGATTTGAGCTGGGGGATGGGGGGGGGCAAAGATTTGTGCTGGGATGGGGGGATTTTAGGGGATTTGTGATAGAAAAGGTGATATAGTGAGGGGGGGGGGGGGGAATTGTGCTAGGAGGGGAAATTTGGGGGGGGGGGTTGTTTTTTGGGGCATATGGGGAGGATTTGAGCTGGGGGATGGAGAGGGGCAAAGATTTGTGCTGGGAGGGGGGATTTCAGTAAGTGGGTGGATTTGTGGAATTTATGCTTAGGGGGTTGGCATGCAGATTAGTGCTCGTTTTTTTTTTGTGGGGGGATTTTTGCTGACACATAATGCTCATATATCTTGAAGAGGGGGGGGGCGCAATTTGGCAGGTTTGCCCTGGGCTCTAGATGCCCTCTAAGTGACAGCAGCTGATTGGTTGCAGTCACTGTTCTTCAGGCGATAGTTTTCCACTTGGAATGAAAATTTGTCTTTTGACGAGCGGGGTGTCGACAGGCTCACTCACAGCTTGAATTTTTGCCGATTCAGCAGAAATGGTCGGAAATTCGATCTGTGTATGGCCAGCTTTAGACCTGATTATTTATCAGTGCCAAGATCACTAAGAGGTCACTTACCTTCTCCTATGGCAGTGTTTCTCAACTCCAGTCCTCATGGACCCCCAACAGGTCATGTTTTCAGGATTTCCCTCATATGAAACAGCTGTGGTAATTACTAAGGCAGTGAAACTGATCAAATCACCTGTGCAAAATAATGGAAATCCTGAAAACATGACCTGTTGGGGGTCCATGAGGACTGGAGTTGAGAAACACTGTCCTATGGTGTCCCTCCCCCCAGCAAAATGTCTTTCTGCTACTGCTTCCTCACTAGTGGGCGAGATACTACAGCATTCTGGGCCAGCGAGGGAGCGATTTCTATTAGGGACAGCGTTTGCTTGTGTGGGATCAGCTGAAGTATTGCTCACCTCACTTTTTACCTGGTATATTTCAGTACAGAGATTTTTAAAAGATATTTCTACTTGATTTGCACGAAGTAAAGAACGGCCTCTTATTATCTATTAAAGATGATGAAAATCCTATGCTAATATTTGCTTTCACCATTTTTTCAGAAGCACACATGACAGGGTGACAACACAGGAGCACAATTGGGAAACAGGAACAGAGCGTTGTCACCGATACCAGGAAGTGTTTGAAAAAAAAAAAAAAAACTTTATGGCTGAATTGCCAATTTTTTTTTTTTCAAGGGAAAACTGCAAATTTTAAAAATATTGAGAGTGACTTTTTTCAAATTACATTAAGCTGTTGACGTTTATCTGAGATTTTGTCGGTTGGGTTTATATATACTTGAATCTCCGTACCGTTATTATCGCCATTATTTCTCTCTCCCTCTCTGCTTTTCATCTTCTTTCCTCGTTCTCGGCCGTCCTCTGTTTCGTTCCCCCCACCCCACTGATATTTGGATAATATCTCTCTCCTGCACAGAGAGACCTTTCTTTCCTTGTAATATAAAAACATGGCCTCAGGATGCACACACCTGCCCCCCTCCCTCCTGCTCGCTTCACGCACACTCTCCACAGATTAGCCGCAGACCTCCTGCCCTGCCCATTGCGCATAATGACTTCCAGACCCCCCCCCCCATCCCCCCTCGTATCCCTGAACCAGCACTCTGCTTTTTATATTATATCGCGGTCCGGACAGACGTGCGGTGCAGTAACGCCTATCAACCAATCAGAAATCAACATTTCTCGCTGTGATATAGCTAGTAAGAACAGAATCCTTCAATTGCTTTCAGTTGTTTAAATGCCCTGTTCACACCACAGTGTTGCATTGAGGTGCGTCGCGGCATTCTGACGCATGTCACAACATTCTGCCGCATGTCACAACACAGCAATACATGGAATGAAAGAGATATTAAAGCTTCAGCTTTTAGAAGAAAAAAAAAAAAACACCTTATACTTTTCTGCCCTGTGCAATAATTTTACACAGAGCAGTCCCGATCCTCTTCTTCTCAGGTACCCCGCTGGCGCTCTTGACTCCTCCCCCTTGATCAGTGCCCCCAATAGCAAGCCACTTGCTATGGGGGCGCTAGTGCGTGCTCGCTCCATAAGACACATAGAGCCGTGGCTCAGTCCCTCTTCCGCTCTCTCCTCATTGGCTCATGGGCTGTGATTGACAGCAGTGGGCAACAGTGGCTAATGAGGAGAGAGACCCGAGACAGCTGAAGCTCCCGTGCACATTGATGGATGGAGAAGGGGCTCAGGTGAGTATTGGGGAGGGGGGGCTGCTGCACACAGGATTTTTTACCTTCATGCATAGAATTCATAAAGGTAAAAAAACCTTCAGCCTTTACAACCACTTTAAATGAAGTGTTATTTGGTGACCATTTAATAAAGTTAAATTGTTACTAAACCCACATCAGTAAAATCAGTCTGTATATGCAGTAAAGCATGCTTATTACACTCACTGTGGAACCTAAGGGGTTAATCCGCCACATTGTGTAAAAAGGCTGTTTGAGCCTGTATTCTCTGATCCTCCCCTTCTTCTACTGTCCCCAATCCATCTGCTGATAGAACAGTGCCTTTGGGGCAAGCTGCACATGCTCAGTTTGGTGTGTATTAACCAGGTTTTTTTTTTCCTTGGGTGAGTGCATGTGATCAGCACAGGGCCAATCAGCACTGTCCAGATAGAGGGTCAGGGTCATGCAGCCTCATAGGACAGTCATAGCAAAATGAAAACTCCTTCTACAAGCTTTAACTGGTGCTTAGCTAGACAATGATAGAAGTCACACGACTGCTATATACTGCTGATGAGAAAAGGGAGTTAGCAGTTTATATTTACTAAAATAATTGCATTTCCATGTTGTGTGTACTGTGGGAGACCAGATATAGTGAATGCAGGGTCCGAGGAGACCAGATATATTGAATGCAGGGTCCGAGGAGACCAGATATAGTGAATGCAGGGTCCGAGGAGACCAGATATAGTGAATTCGGGGTTCCGGGGAGACCAGATATAGTGAATGTAGGGTCCGGGGAGACCAGATATAGTGAATGCAGGGTCCTGGGGAGATCAGATATAGTGAATGCAGGGTCCTGGGAGACCAGATATAGTGAATGCAGGGTCCGGGGAGATCAGATATAGTGAATGCAGGGTCCGGGGAGACCGGATATAGTGAATGCAGGGTCCTTGGGAGATCAGATATAGTGAATGCAGGGTCCGGGGAGATCAGATATAGTGAATGCAGGGTCCGGGGAGACCAGATATAGTGAATGCAGGGTACGGGGAGACCAGATATAGTGAATGCAGGGTCCTGGGAGACCAGATATAGTGAATGCAGGGTCCTGGGGACCAGATATAGTGGATGCAAGGTCCTGGGAGACCAGATATAGTGAAGATGCAGAATGTATGGGGAGACCAGATATAGTGAATGCAGGGTCCTGGGAGACCAGATATAGTGAATGCAGGGTCCTGGGAGACAAGATATAGTGAATGCAGGGTTCGGGGAGACCAGATATAGTGAATGCAGGGTCCGGGGAGACCAGATATAGTGAATGCAGGGTTCGGGGAGACCAGATATAGCGAATGCAGGGTCCTGGGACACCAGATATAGTGAATGCAGGGTCCTGGGACACCAGATATAGTGAATGCAGGGTCCTGGTAGACCAGATATAGTGGATGCAGGGTCCCGGGAGACCAGATATAGTGAATGCAGGGTCCGGGGAGACCAGATATAGTGAATGCAGGGTCCGGGGGGAGACCAGATATAGTGAATGCGGGGTCCGGGGAGACCAGATATAGTGAATGCAGGGTCCTGGGAGACCAGATATAGTGAATGCAGGGTCCTGGGAGACCAGATATAGTGGATGCAAGGTCCTGGGGAGACCAGATATAGTGAATGCAGGGTCCGGGGAGACCAGATATAGTGAATGCAGGGTCCTGGGACATCAGATATAGTGAATGCAGTGTCCTGGGACACCAGATATAGTGAATGCAGGGTCCTGGTAGACCAGATATAGTGGATGCAGGGTCCCGGGAGACCAGATATAGTGAATGCAGGGGGGAGTCCAGATATAGTGAATGCAGGGTCCGGAGACCAGATATAGTGAATGCAGGGTCCTGGGAGACCAGATATAGTGAATGCAGGGTCCGGGGAGACCAGATATAGTGAATGCAGGGTCCTGGGTTTAGGCTGGCCATACATTATACAATTTTCTTGAGAATTTTACTTTAGATTTTTCACCGCATGTTTGTAGCATACTTGGCATGCGGCAAATCAGTCATCTGCTACCAGCGCTTGGGGTGCCATTACCAATTAATGGCACTGCTAGAGCGACGTGTTTGCAGTGCGCTTGCAGCGTGTTTTTGAAACACACATTTTGCTTTGCTGCATGTTCCCTAAACGCCCAGGTGTGAATGCGGTCTTAGTCATTACTGGGGAATACTTTGACATTGAGGGCCGGTTCACACCATAGAAACACAGTCTGGATGTGCACTGGATGCGTTTCTGCATGCGCGTTTTTCATGCATTCCGGTGCATTTTTTCTTCTCCTTTTTTTTCTTCACCTTAGCGAAGGACATACGCGTTTCGGTGTGTTTATGGTGTTAGGTGGATTCCGGTGCGGTTTTGATGCATTTATTATTTATTACAGGTACTTGTATAACATTGTTAATTTACGAAGCGCTTTAGATATATATTGTACATTCACATCAGTCCCTAACCCTCAAGGGGTGTAAAATCTTAGGTCCCTAACTCACATTCATACATACATACTAGGGCCAATTTAGACAGGAGCCAATTAACCTACCAGCATGTCTTTGGAGTGTGGGAGGAAACCGGAGTACCCAGAGGAAACCCACGCAGGCACAGGGAGAACATGCAAACTCCGGGCAGGTGATGCCAGGCTGAAGTGCTAACCATTTAGCCTCTGTGCTGCCCATTTACCGCATTCCAGTACAGTTCAGTGCAGGAAAAAAATGCAGCATGTTTTACTTTTTTTCTAGAACTGACCGCACTGGTGTGAACTATGCCCTTGGAAACCATATAACCTACGTTCCATGCGGTTTTGATGCAGTAATTATGCTTAGGGTTGTGATGGTCAACTTTCTTAAAATAAGGAATCTCAGGTGTGGCCCCTGACATCACCAACAGCCACACATACTCTTTTTTGTAAATGTAATGCTACAGAAAGCTGTCAAAGACTGCAGACATGAAGCAGGAAATAGAAACTGCAGGCATGCTACAAGGAATGGTCAAGATTCATTCAGGAGATGGTCAGAGATAGAAACTATGGGCATGTTATAGGACAGTGGTCTCCAAACTGTGACCCGGGGGCCAGATGTGGCCCCTTGCTTGCCTTTATCTGGCCTTTGGGGTACTATTCCTCCATCTGTCACCAATGATGGGGCACCATTTATCCCCTTTTATCCCCTTGGCACCATCAAAGGGGCACTATTCTTCCCAAGGACACCATCAAGGCAGGACTATTCCTACCAATGACACCATGACACCATCAAGGGGGCACTATTCCTCCCACTGATACCAAGAATGGGGCCTTGTTTACTCCCACTGACACTGACAATTTCTACTCACACAGGCCACAGTTATTTTTTGTGCTATTAAGAAAAAATAAAGACTGACAATTTTGAGGAAAAAACCCAACATTTTTAACTTTTTGCTATTAAAAATGTCCAATAAAAAAAGTGAAAAAATCAAATTTTGTCTTAAATGTAGGCCAAAATTTATTCTGCCACATGTCTTTGCTAAAAGAAAAATCCCAATACGTGTAAATTAATTGGTTTACGTGAAAGTTATAGCATCTACAAATGGCGGTATATATACTAGAATTTTTTTTTTAAGGCTAGTAATGGTGACGATCAGCGACTTATAGCGGGACTGCAGCGGACATTCTGACACTGCAGGGAAACTGCCTGCCTGTCACTGACATCCCCAGTGAGACGAATGCAGTGATCAGTGCTAATGACACTGGGCAGGAAGGGGTTAAAATCTGGGGTGATCAAAGGGTTAACTGTGTGCTGTTTCACTGTGTGCTGTGTGTGTGCTTTACACTGTAAGCACGCTGCTTTGTATGGCTCTGCTATGCAGAGCCATACAAAGCAGTAGGCAGGAGCTGACAGGGGAGAGATCTGTATTGTTTACATACAGGTCTCTCCCCCGTGCGTGATACTCAGTGCCGGTGGGGAGTCACTGGCTGGGACCCGGTGAATGACAGCTGAGGCCGCCAATGGCGGCGCGGGTAGAGTGCTCGCAACGCACCCCCTACCCAGAAATTCAAAATCATGTATATATGTGATTTTGCGCACCCCTGCCGCCCTGTAGCAGTATTTATGCTATAGGGCGGTGGGAAAGCGGTTAAGGCTGAATAATGCCCTTGCTACGGGTGTAGGCCATTTACATACCTCCCAAATACTGGTGGTAAAAATCCCAGAGATGGCATCATCCCATCCTGCCTTCGCAGCAATCACAGTTTTATTACCCCCAGAGTTGAGGGGTTTGTGTGTAGTTGCTTTATCACATATTTAGAGGTATATATTTGAGCATTTTCATTTCACTTATTTATGAGGGCACTTAGTTGGAGCTCATGATGCATGTTTTTTGTATTACCATGTATATATTGGGGCACAATTTATATTTTTAGCACCCGTTTGGTATTTATATTTTTTCAGTGCTGCACTATTATTTGTATATATCCCATCCTGCCTTGTTACTAGGAGGTTGCTAAGACACTCCCTGATATTACTGCTCACCCGTATCATCACAGGACGGAGCTCCCAAAGCCCCGCCCATGTGTAGTCCCCTATCTCCTCCATCGCAGCACCACTGAGCTTAGAGTTACTGCAACAGCGGAGAAGGAGCTCATGCTTGAATCAGCTTGGGGTTTCTTAGTAACACCCTAGAAACAAGTCAGGATGAGATATCGCCATCTCTGGGAGTTTTTGTCCAGCCTTTGGGAGGCAGGTAAATGGCCTACACCTATATCAAGAACACTATTTAACTTTGTTCAATTCGGCACAGTTTGCTTTTCTCTGTAGGCACCCCTTACCTGCATAGGAAGTTTTTTGATAAAGACAAACTAACCTTTTAAGTTTAACTTTACAAGCTGAAGCTGATGTCTGCATATACTAAGGATTGGGGATTGCAGGGTACTATGAATACAATGAAAGGTAAGTGCGAACATGACTATCTACCTGAACACAGAGCTTGGTAGTGTGATCTTTTGTATTGGTACACACTGTAGAGCACAGGGTGTCAAACTGGCGGCCCTCCAGCTGTTGCCATACTACAAGTCCCATCAGGCATTGCAAGACTGAGAGTTACAAGCATGACTCCCAAAGGCAGAGGAATGATGGGACTTGTAGTTTTGCAACAGCTGGAAGGCCAACAGTTTGACACCCATGCTGTAGAGGAAACCTATACCTTAAGGGGTATGGAGGCTGCCATTGCTGCTTTCCTGAAAATACTAGTTGTCTGGCTTCACTGGCTTTCGTTTTCCCTAGAAGAACATGAAAGCGGGCAAAGTTAGGTCAAACGTTTTGGTCTGCATTCTAGTTCAGTTTGTTTATTTATTACATAGTATATTTATATAGCGCCAACAATTAATGAATACTTTTACAGATTGTACAATTCACATCAGTGCCTTCACTGAAGGATCACTCACACTCTAATGCCCCTAGCTCACGTATATTCACATAGTAGGGCCAATTAAAGCCCAGTTCACAACCATGTGTGTGGCGATTGATGCGTTTTGTGTTTTTTTTTTGCCGATAGGAAAGTATTAAAGCGGAGTTCCACTCACCCTGTCAAAAAATAAAAGTCAGCAGCTACAAAAACTGTAGCTGCTGACATTTAAAAAACAGCCACTTATCGGTCCCACGGTGTGTCCCCTCCGCTGCCCGTTTCACCGGCCGTATTGCCCATGCCCGTTTCCTGTATTTCATGAGGCTGGCATCTTCAGTGTGGACACCCGGCTGTGCAGCCTGCGGCTTCACAGCCAGGTACCCACTGCACATGCAGGAGTAGTGCTGCGCTTCATGAATGGTCCTGTAGTCTTCTGGGACCTGTCATGTGTCCCAAAAGACTACAGGGAGGGAGGAAGGGAGGACACCTTCTGCTTCCAATCGCCTAGGCGCTCGGACCGGAAGTGGGAGCAGGTACCTGCCAAATTCGGGTACCCGCTCCCCCCCGCCCCCAAAGGTGCCAATCCTTAATGGGGAGCGGGGGAGCAGTCCTTAACCACCTCCCGTCCGGCCGTTGTATATAAACGGCCGGACGGTGGCAGTGCAGGGTCGGGTGGCCGTTTATAAATGGCCTTCCCGCCTCCTGCTTGTGCGTGCTCCCTGGGAGCGCGGAGCACCGCGATCCGGTGCCCGCTGTGTCCTCCGGACACAGTGGAACACCGATCATCGGACGGGACCTCTGTACGAGGTCCCGATCATGTGATCACTGATTGGCCAATCAGTGATCACATGCAGAGTAGTAAGCAAGATGTCACTTGTGACATCATTGCTTACTACGTGTGAAATCTGTGAATGATCACAGAGGTCACATGGTACAAGGCTATTCACAACAGCTTTGTACCATGTGACAAGCTGTGACCAACCACAGCTCACTCAGTACTTCTCAATGGCTGCAAGAATGCAGCTGGAGAGAAGGAGAAATGATTGCTTTTACATCCTTTATGGGTGTAAAAGCAATCAGTGTAAAAAAAAAAAATCTTCATCACCCTTCAAAAGTAGTACAGTGTCACCATGGTGACACTGTACTGCTAGG